TAAGGGTGTGTTTCGTCTTCAACCACCCCTTCCAAAGTATAACTTTACATGGGATACGAATTGCGTTTTAGATCAGATAAGCCAATGGTTCCCAAATGAGGACCTAACGTTAGAGCAATTGACTAAAAAGACATTAACCTTACTGGCATTAACTACAGCACATAGAATGCAAACGTTGTCAAAAATCGAAATCAAAAACATACACATATCTCACAGTCAGGTTGTTATTAAAATACCATAAAATATTAATACTTCAAAACCAGGTCGTGAGCAACCAATACTTTATCTACCATTTTTCAACAGTAGGCCAAATGTGTGTCCATCAAAAACACTACTATGTTATATTAATGAGACAAACTCCCTTAAGAAAATCTGATGCTCTGTTTATAGGTATTAAAAAGCCGTCAGTGCGATCCGTAATACTGCGGGCTGGAGGGGCAACTCTACCGTGTTCGCACAATTTTACAACAGGCCTATTCATAATCATGGTTGTACATCATTAGCCCAATCAATTATTGACCATTAAATAAATAAATCAGTGTATCAAAATTTCGTAATTACTACCTATACTATAATTTAGAATGGAAATAAATGTCAAAAGGAATTGTTCAGTTTCTATGGGCACTTTGGCTTTGAGTGGACATTATCTACAGTTATAAAAAACATTATTTTTCAATATTTCATATCTTAAGGAAAGTAACTTTTATAATATTTTCACAGGAAAGTTTAATATTTGTATATATATAAGCATGTGTAGTATTCCATAAACGGTGTAAAGAAAAACTTATATTTTGTAAAATACTTTAATTACATTATCATCATAATAATTTTTTTTAGGTTAGAAATAAGAAGCAGAGATGGTTAAATAAAAAAATTATAGATTTACACTTATTTACCTTTAATTTGACAATACAATTTTACAAGCAAAAGACAGTACTTCTAAATACACTTATTTATAAGAATAGACTTTACATAATCACTTAATAAATAAGTTGCACTGCTCATACAGTTTGTCTTCAGCTGGAGGCTGGCATTCGGGTGGTCAAAAAAGCAGCTACATTTATATAAGTTGGTCACATGATGTCCTTATCGTTAAATCTTCCATGGCCTCTCATGACGTGTGCTTGCAGTCAAACACAACTATTCTCCTAATTTGTGCTCACCCTCGAGAACAACTCTTCGGCTTGGAGTGGCTGTAGACTCACATTTACATCTGCGTCTATTAACAGAAAGAACTATTTTAAAACACCTATCCAGTACATTTGTACATTACTACTAAAAAGTAAATTAACATTAAATGTTGAACTACAGGTACAGTACTCCAACGCCTTCGCACATGTAAATAGTAGCCTATATCATCCTGATGAAAGATGTAGCTTCGCTTAAGTAAAAGGATTTTTTTTACATCAGTCTTGTAGTTTCGAAGTTTGTTAACAAGCTCAACTAACAATCAAATCTTTCTAGTTTATAATATAAGTAAGGATAAGAGGCACAAAGCTCACAAACTAGTTTCACTATTTTTACAATAATAAGGCAAAAATAATAAACAATTTTACCTGATACCATGTGGGAACGGTTAGTCGCTGTGGTGAGTCGCAACCAGGAACAAAACAATATACTTGTGAATCAGGTGCTCTTTTATAATCCGGTAAGTAATGATCTGTATAGGTTCCGGAATATTATATTATATCTGCTTGCTGCTAACATGGATGACAGACGCGATATGGCAGCGATATATTAATGTTTTACTTGTCATAAAGGAAGCTTAATTATGATAAAATAATCATAATAAATAAAAATAACTATAATCCTACCTGTCGTGGGGATATCCAATCAATAATTATATTACTAATGTGTTTCTTTGACGGATATTTTTTGCAGATGTGATCTAGTACGTAATATAGATCTTTCACAATTTATACAAAGCTGCCGACGATGTCCTCTACTTGTGCTTGGTTTGGTGTCCATAGGTATAGCCGGGTCATCATTTCGAGAGGTTAATAAATAAATTGGTCGAAAGTAATAACAAAATCATAACGTAAGAATAGGGTATTTGACACTTTTCTGAAAACTATTTTAAATCGTTGTTTGCTACATTATAAACACACTGTCATAATATTTCATTGGAATCTTTTCTATTTTTGGTGAAAATAATTGTTAAAATCTAAATAGTCAAAAGAGCGCGAAAAACGCTTCTCTATGTAATGGCGCTGATCGTGACGTCACAGGCCAGTAAATATGTCAAATTCATAAGTAACAACTGTTTTTAGAGTAAATTAGGGATGATCGATATTGGAAAAACATCGATATTGACATCGAAGTCAACTTTCGATGAAAACCATCGATGTTCCAAACATCGATTGCGTTGCTGTTAAAGGAATTGACCAGCTTTAGAAAAAAGCCTCTCTGAAGCCGTGGAAGTAAATATTTTAATGCAATCTTTTTTAATGTGGGATAGGTGGATTCTACCCCTTAACATAAAAGTAATGGAATAAGACAAGTGTCATAAAAAATCACGAGGGAGTTTCACGGAGAGAGAACGAGCCCAACGAGCATAAAGTAACTTTTTTTTATATACATAAATGACCTTTTTCCATTTTACACAGAAATTTTGCGGGATAGTGAGAAACGGTTTTTAATAGTTTTCTTCCTCCCTTGTTCTAAAAGTACAACACAAAGCAAACGTCACAAATTGAACTAATAAATTAAATAAAAAATATCGCAATAAATATGTGATAGTGCCATGTAGATTATAGGGGATTGTTATATTTTTTAATATGCTTACAAGACGCAAAAAGATAGATTATGTTAGAAATAGACAAGATAGTATTAAGGTTAATGGGACGGGGGGTTTTAGATGGAAGTTGATGATATGAAGTAGGTTGTTTCAGACAGTTGAAGAGGATGGGATCAGTGGTACCTTTTTCGATTCCGCACTCGCAAGTGGAACTATCTAATGTACGGATCTTTGAAAGTAAGAGCGGTGAATAAAGTAACTTATAAGATACCAACGAGCGCTGAAGTTGACAGATTTATTTCTAATTTCCTAGGAAAATGCAAGCAAAGAAAAAACTATTTGTTTGCGTACTCCAGTTACGAGTGCAACCGGTGACATCTAGCATAAAATAGTTGAACTTGATATACGAGATCATCTAGCTAGTACATCTGGAGCACGTTAGATGGCCTAAAGGGTATCTTGACATTTTATTCATAAACATCGTTGTTTGGCACGAAAACATCGATGTGCCGATGTTATCCAATTTAAAACATCGATGTTTATTCAACATCGATGAATATCGACATCCCTAGAGTAAATTGAAATAATAATTAAAAAGAGAAATTGAAGTTGTAGTGCGTATTTTTTACGTTTTTTATTTTCCTCTGCTCTGGTTTTCTTTAAAAAGTGAGCTACAAGTGGTGCGTAGTGCCACAATGTACTAATACTTCTAAAAGTAACAAACAAACTTCGAGTCTAGAAGAAAATAGATTCACAATCACAATAGTATAGTAGCTATATAGAGTAGAGATGGTTGATAAAATTAGGTAAGGATTCGCTTAAAGTATTGAAACTTTTTTTATTTTATATCGATCCATTTGATTTGGTTTTCTTTTTGTTTTTTTTCTTTATCATTAACATTTTACGACTCATTTATATTTGTTGACAGGGCTCGCTCTTTACAGCCTGTCGACCTACAGATGGATGAGACATTAGTACGAAAAAGAATATTCTATTTTTTTTATACATACATGTAGTATGTCTGTCCATAAAATGCATGGCATTTGATAATTAGATATCAGACACCGGTGATTTTTTTTATTAGTTTTTAACTTGGAGTACACTATATATCATCAAAATCGACTTTGTAATTTTGAATTATTATAGTAAAGTTCAAGAAATGAGAAAAACATGTAAGTTGCTCTATTTTTAAATTGGTGGCGTTTTCCCTATTTCTTGAATTTTTTAAAAAGCTTAGTAAATGTTTTTTTTTTCCTGTATTTCTTTTTGGCAGTTCTTAATAATAGAAGCGGCAAAGTATTCTGTTTTCAGTAAATTACTATAAAGTAGTCGATACCTACAGGCATCGATATTTTATGTATCTTTCTAATCGATATTTTATGTAACACTACTTTGACATGACAGCTGATGACGTCACAGGTCAGTAAACAGAATCGTGATTGGTTGTGACGACGACCAATTATAGGACGTTTTCGTTGTTGAATAAATTCCTAAAAATATTGCATTTTCTTTACGTTATTTTACTAAATCTAAACATGTTTTTTCTGCAGATGTTAAGAAATAAGCTTTATTAGATTATTATCTATCAGGATGACCACAAAATACAACTTATTTTCGATAGTGACAAATACCCTATTATCATTATCACTCAAATGTCTTTGTTGACAAAAGTGAAATGGTGCTGCCCTATAAAAAATTTTAATCGATGAAAAAGTAATCGATGGTTTGTGTAAATTAACTTATATATGAAGAGTCAAATTGTAGAAATCGCTAAGTCACAAAACCTGTTTTCTGGGAATCAAGATTTTAAACTTTGTTTTTGCATTATAAATTACATGCTTTCTCAAAATAAATAAATAAAAGACTCATTGTAGACACTAAGACATGTTTATTTATGTAACCTATAAAAGAAGCTCCTAATAATGTTTATTACTTAATTAAAAAATAAAGAAGTCAGTGGACTTAGCTTCAAAGTCGTGTACTTAGAGATTTTCATATTGTTTTTATTGCACTTAGGGATTTTTACTAATTTAATTCACAAAATTAACTTAAAAATAATCAAATTAAGTTTAAAAGAAAATCCAACCTAAGAGAATAAACAAAATCATGTTATCAGATATTTTTCATCAAGTTTTTTTATCAAACTAAATTTTTTGTAAGAATCATCGAACAAAATGTCAATCCTTGTTGTTTAAAAAATTAAAACTTAAAACTATTTTCTTCCATTTAATTAAGTCAGGAAATGAAATGGGAAAATCATAATTTACTCAACTTCATCTCCTGAATTAGCCATTTCCATACTATCATCTGCAGAATTTTCTTCATTGAAATCAATTATGTCCTGATAAAAATTTCTCTCACCTTCTGGGATAAATCGGATAAGGCTCTTCATGTCTTGCACTTTGGGTTTTTAATCTTTAATTGGGAGCTGTAACAGTCTTCTAGAGTGTCATTTATAACTCTGTTAATTCCAGTCTTGTACAAGGATACTGATTTAAAATCAGAAAAAGGCTCTATGAACTATATGATGAACGTAATTATAACACAAGTGAGGACTTCAAAGAATATGTACGAAATTACTCTAAATTATTTAAAAAAGTGTGTCGTTTAGCCAAATGTAATTATTTAAATGCAAAAATTGAAAATAGTAAAGACAAAGTTAAAATGACGTGGAATATCATAAATAGTGAAACTGGAAGAGAAAAATCCCGGAATATAAATTTTAATTTAAACATTGATAATAAAAAAGTAACATCAGATCTTGAAGTTGCTACAGTATTTGAAAATTTATTTACTGAAATTCCAGTCTTAATTACACAATCTTTGAATTCCTCTTCCACTGTTGCTGAATCTATTTTAAAGGCAAGTTTAAATAATTCTAATAGCCAATTTAAGTTTCAACACATTGATTTTAAAGATATAATAAAATCTTTCAATCAGCTAAAGAAAACGAAAACTGCTGATTTATGGGGTAATTCCATTGAAGTTTCTAAATCGGTAATTGAGACAATAGCTCCAATCTTAGCTTATATATTTAATGAATGTACTGATTGTGGTATTTTTCCTGAGCTGATGAAATATAGTAAAATTATTCCTTTACATAAATCGGGTAGCACATCTGACCCTACTAACTTTAGACCTATATCCGTGCTACCTACGTTTAGTAAGATTTTTGAAAAAATCATGCTGGATCAAATACAAACATACTTTTACAAGAATAAGCTTATGAATCGACAACAATTTGGTTTTACAAGGGGTCGCTCGACAATCGAAGCCAGTGTCGAGTTAATACAAGAAATTTTTAATGCCTGGGAGGATTCACATGATGCGTTAGGTGTTTTCTGTGACCTATCTAAGGCATTTGATTGTGTTTTTCATGAAACATTGATTAGGAAACTGCATTTTTATGGATTTAGAGATAACTCATTGGATTTTACTGTCTCATACTTGACTGACAGAGTACAGAGGGTTGATATCAATGGCAAAAGATCCCCTGGATCGAAAATTAAGATGGGCGTTCCGCAGGGCTCAATACTTGGTCCTTTCTTGTTTTTGATTTACATAAATGACTTGCCTTATTTCGTAATGGATGATCACGAAATAGTTTTGTTTGCGGATGACACTTCACTCTTGTTTAAAATTAAAAGAGGGTTACCTCTAAATGACGATGTGAACAATTCTATCGCTAAAGTAGTACATTGGTTTAATGTAAATAATCTTCTCCTTAATGAAGGAAAAACAAAATGCTTAAAATTTGTACTACCTAATGTTAAAAAAGTAGATATAAATGTTAATGTAAAAGATAAGAACATGGGTCTTGTGGATACCACAGTATTTTTAGGAATAACATAGTTTATGCATAATATCTTCTCTAATCAATACAAAGTATAATCATAATTTTAAAACAAACTAATGTAAATGGTAATAAACGAATGTATATACCTTTATACAGAGGCACTCTTGCTGTATTGGATTGACCCACTTTCATACAGTATGAATGATCCTTGTTAATTGTTGTTATATGACAATCATAATCTGAAAAAATAAAACATTTTTATATTTGATCAAGTTTATATTCACAAAGCCATACATACTGATAAATCGAATACCGATAAAAAAAACAAATATCTTTAATAATGTTTAAAAAAAACACCAGCCACAAAGTTATATCTTGGGGTACCAGGAGTTAGTGAAATTTCAAGCATTGTAAAAAAATCGCCAGCTCTATATAAATAAAACATTTTTTTACATAAATTTCAATTTAAGAACTTAAGTCTGTTATTACAATCACAAAAACATTAATATTTTTAATTGTAAATATGTACCTGTTGTTAGATGTCTTCTGGATGGCTCTGGTGGTTCACATGAATCAACAGTTAGTGATTCGGTTTGTGTGGTATCTGAAAAACATAAATGTTTTTTAACCGACTTAAAAAAAGGAGGTTCTCAATTCACCTGTATGTATTTTTGGGTGCGTTTATCGGGGGTGGTTTAAATGTTTTTATTCAAGTAAACTTGTTACAAGCACTTTTGAATCATCCAAAAATATTTTTCCCCTACCACTTGTTCAGGACGTCTTTTAGCTGACAAGAAGAAAAAGCGAAAGTAACTTACCAGCTTTTTATCATAAGTAATGACATTTACATCAATCATGTCATTACCAAAATAATACATATATTGAACAATAATAAATACAAGTTTTAAAGTCTGTAGGACATATTAATCGTTATAGAACAGAGCGAAGGCTATTAATTCCATGCATTGCGGTCCTTAAATTATCATCAACTTTATAATAGCCTTTACTCATAAGTAAAACTGACTTCAAAGTTAAAAATAATACTAAGTTAACATATATAATAATACTATACTAAGATAATTGAAGTTGGGCGCCTATCATTTCATTAATAACCTTAAGAAAACCTCAGCCCGCTATTGAGATAAGTAGGTATTATTTTTACTTTTTTTAAGTTCTGTTTTTAAGAAAATCCAAATATAATTATTTAATGTTGTTTTTCTTTCTCTTATTTAACTTTTTGTAGAAACAAAAAAAGTTAATAACATTATTAATGTAGTTATTGTAATGAAAGTATTACCTGTAGGTTGGGATCTCTTTGATGATGCTGGTTGTGCACATGCTGGTACATCAATTTGGGTGTCTGTAAAACAATTTATTACAAAGTCTAATTACCAATCAGGTTTTAAAACTTCAGAAGAAGCCCAGGAGAATTTTAACAAATTCAGGTTACAGAATGGAGTTTTGAAAAAATGACAAACATTTATCATTATTTATTTTTAAATATACATTTACACTTCGACAAGCATTAACTGGCTACATCTTGTAGCATGCATAGTAAACAACACAGGAGGGGAATGTATTATTCATGAGAAGGCAGCAAACAAAAAAACGATTTAAGAAATTAAGTATACTTATAGAAAATACTAAGAAATTATTGCATGCCTGGAACTTGTGGGAATTGCACAAGTTGGTCTGAGTGGAAAGGGATTTAAGTACTAGGAAACTGGGAACATTACCTACCATTATGTAGGTTACATAATGTAAGTTAATGTTCCCAGTTTCATTAAGTAACCTACCATATAAAAAAAATACCTTGCAAAAGAAATGTAGATGCTGATGTAGAAGATAGATTTCTATTCCATTTTAAAATCATTGTAGACAATGCTGAAAACAAAAAATAAAATATGAATGTTTTTCATTACTATTCAATAATTTTAGAAAATATTTTGCCATACTTGCTAATAGATAGATGAAACCGACTATAGGGATTCATTATTGTTATATTCATTATTAAACCAAAAAAAGGTGTCAAAAATTAAGTTTTTTTGTTATTTTTTTAAATACATGTGATTCGTTTGAAGGAGGGAGGGGGCAGTCTTAAACCTCACCAAGGGGGAGGGAGGGTCAAAAAATGTTGAAAAAACATCATGTGATTAAGGGACGGCCCCATAGCACTATTTGTTTGTTTTGCCAAGTATGTATCACATACAAGTGTCAAGTATAAGTTAAAATTATTACTTACTAGGTAATTGTAATGTAGGTACAGCCAGTTTATTTAAGCGGTTGTTACGGTTTTTTACATTTTCAGCAAAATGTCTGTCACAAACATATCTGTTTTTATAAATGACTTCATTTGTCTCGGCAGCTAACTCAACCCAGGTTTTAAATATGTCAGGATATTTCATAGGGTTTGGAAACTTGTGAATGGTGACACCTGAAAAAGCAAAATGGGTCAATGTTTAATAGGTTCCTATTCATATTTAACATATTCAAATTAGTTATGTTATAGAAAACAGCGTTAAAATGTTTAAGGTTTATGATTATGTCATTTTTTAATTTTATTTGTATACTTTTACCACATTTATTCTTCTCAACATAAAGATTCAAATGTCATAGAAAAAATATGCATATAGTAGCAAAAAGGCAAAATGATAGTGTTCATTGTGATACATGCCTGTATTACGTGCCTGTATCATGCATTAATGAATTTTTTCAACAAAGACTTCTGATTTTATACGTACCCGTCGTGATACATCCAAATACACAGAGGTTAGAAGAAGGCATGGTTAAATAAATAATGTCCAATATCACAAAACTTATAAAATCCTTACACTACTTAACTAATCGTGTCCAATATCACAAAACTTAACTAAATAGTGTCCAGTATCACAAAATAAGCTATCGCGAAATCGAAGGCGGCCGGCACGTAAATCTTGCGGAGAAAACTCAACTCAACGCTAGGAAAACGTGGATGAACCTGTTCGACATTTCATCAAATCAAATTTTTCATGTAATTACGGAGGAACAGCAGCTCAACTCAACGTAATTACAGTTCAAAACAAGGTGCAAGCGCAACGACAACGACACGACAACAAACAATCGGCCATTTGCAATTTTTGAAAACTCACTAAAATATCGATATGACATCGATTTGAACAATTACATAAAATACAAGTAAAATAAATTAAGAAACATATTGCTAATCTTAAAATTACAGTCAATAAGATTTTGATGTCGAATTTTCTTATTTATCAAAATAATCATTGATCAAAAAGTTCTTAACAAAATTTATTTAATTATAATCAAATAGAATCGATAGTCACATTAGACCTAATCGATAGTCACATTTGACTTCTCAATATTTTATTTTAGTGCCATCTAGCGAAAATAAAAGGATTGTTTTTAAAAAGTGAGGAATTATGTTCAAAGATTGCGCTCTGTAGTAAGTATTTTTACATTGTTAGGCAGTTTCCTACCCCTGGTAAAGTGCCATCTTCGAACAAGCATAGACCACTCCCAAGCGATGACAGCCGTCAATGTCATAACTTGACGTTTCGCGAAGCACCATAGATCTTGACAGATGACAACTGCAGGTGACAGATGGCGTTTCGCACAATCGAAGCGCCTTCTCGCCGACATATATATAAAACGAATTTACTTCAATAACTACGCTAATGCGTTAACATATCGCCTCCCATGGACCCGCATGGTCCATACAAAATAAAACAAAACTACACCACGAGCAAATACAAAGGGCATACAAACAAAAACTTTATGTAATGTAAGTTTTATATTTATAGTGATTAAGGTTTATAATATGTTACAAATTTTTATTTAAATCTAATAATAGTACATATTTTAATTCAGCAAACTAACGTTTAACACAACCACCATCTGGAAGCTGATCTTTTAATACCCCCTCTACATGTTCGCAGAAGTTATCTCGCAGGTAAATTTTTAATAAAATCGAAGTCCTATCCGCTAAGAAAACTCTTAGATATTTCTGAAAAGCTTAACGACCCACAAAGAAAGAATTATTGGAAGAAAAAAAAGACACCTCTCTTAATGTTAGCTTACGAATCTTACAAATCAGTTCCAATATCTCACAATAAAATGATCGTTGATATGTTTACCTTAGATACGTGGATTGGAGATGTGGATTTATCAAAAGCTATTAATCTCGATGTCAGTGGGGTTACTGTCAAGCGAATCATCAAACATGATAAACTTAGAAATATATGTTCCCAATATATAAGCAAAAATTATAATGAATTTTATAAAATATATACAGATGGATCTTTAGGCGAAAATGGCATAGGAGCGGCATTTTTTGACGAAATTACAAATAACTCCGTTAAACTTAAAATTGTAAACAAAATATCTATAATGCATGCTGAGTTGATTGCAATAGCAGAAGCGATATCTTATAGTGAATCAATTAATTGCGATAAAATTGTAATATTCAGTGACTCAAAATCTGCACTCCAACATTTGGCTCGATGCACCTCGAACTTTCGAGGAGCACCGATAGCTTATTGTATTATAAAGATCATTCTAAAATTAACTGACAAGAGTAAAAATATTGTGCTACAGTGGCTACCTGCCCACGTAGGAATAGATGGTAATGAAAAAGCAGACTCCCTCGCCAAAGAGGCCTCAACTGAGGGAATTCCAGTTTGTAGTAATCCATATTTACCAGACTATATGTTTCTAATAAAATCTGCTATGTATAATATATGGAAAGAGCACCTAAATGAAAGATCTGTGAGCAAAGGAATATGGTACAGGACCATTCAACCTAACCTCCCTCGAAAGTTATGGTTTGACGGTGCAGACATGACTAGGAATGATATTGTCAATATGTTAAGGTTACGTTCTGGACATATTCCTCTTAATGGATTTGCGTTTCTCATGGGTAAAACAATCTCGCCAGTTTGTTCAGAATGTAATAAAATTGAAGATGCAAGTCATATTATGATGGAGTGTGTCCGGAATGATAATGAAAGAAAACAGTTTTTTAACCTTAGAAATGTCAACGTTTTTGAAGTAGGTGTGTGTAATAGTATGTTAGCCTCTCCTCTTTCTGGAGATGCTAAGATGCTACTAAAAATAGTGTCATCAGGCCTCAAACGAAGAATATAAAATAACATGCATATACATAATGAGGGTGACATGGTCACTGCGTGACAAAACTCTCAGAGAAATAAAGAAAAAAAAAAAAAACCACCATCTCATCTCAGATTTAAATTTTTACTCTGCTTTGGGAAGCACCCTCACTTTAGACAAAGGGCGTTTGATTACACTGGACCCCTTGCATTTTATGCTTACCACTCGCGTTAAATCATCAGATCCTGAATGCTTTTCAACAGTCACTCCATACAACCATCGACTTGGAGGTAAATCGTCCTCCATGATCAGAACGACGTCGCCAACTTTAGGTTGTTCGACCACCGCCGCCAAAACGTTCAAGAGTTTTGGCGGCGGTGGTCGAAAAAATACTTGACCCAATTTTTCCATCGGTACAAATGGCGTAACATTTTGTCGGAACCTAAAGTCTTGAAAACTCTTGAACCATTTTTTGAGTTAATTGCCATCTACGCAAATTAGTAATGCCAATGGTTCACCAATTAAAAAGTGACCAGGTGTTAACGGATATGGATCCGAGGGACTAACATCAGACATCTGTGCTATTGGCCTTGAATTAAGACAAGCTTCAATTTGAGACAACAGCGTCGTCATTTCTTCGAAAGTAAGTTTTGATTCTCCCATGACTCGTCTCACATGATACTTCGTAGATTTAATTCCAGCTTCCCATTGGCCCCCGAAATTGGGAGAATGAGGTGGAATAAAATTTCCACTTAGTGTTATAAGTTGAAAGCCAGTCTACAATTTCGACTACTAACTTTGATCTTTCACTTTGAAACAAATTCTTTAACTCACGAGCGACACCTATGAAATTAGTGCCGTTGTCACTCCACAGCTCAGCACAGTACCCACGACGAGCAGTGAAGCGTTTAAAAGCAGCATTGAAAGCTTCGGAAGTCATGTCACTGTTTCTAAATGCACGGCCCTTGTAGCCATACATACAAAAAGACAAATATATCCCTTTGCAGTATGAATACATCTGCCCTTTGATGATCTAACGACAATTGGACCCGCGTAGTCGACTCCACTGCGATAAAACGACCTCGCTGGAGTAACTCTCGCTTCTGGAAGCTGACCCATCAATTGATAACTTGAACGTGAAGAAAATCGAATACATCGTGTGCATTTCCGTATATAACTCTTAACTTGCCCTTTTATATCAATTATCCAATAATGTGACCTTAAATAATTAATCGTAAGCTGGACTCCACCATGTATAGTCCGTTCATGGGCGTCTGCTATAATCAAAGTTGTTAAATGAGATTTTCGAGGTATTAAAACTGGATGCTTAAAATCCTCACTAACTTGAGCATTTTGTAGACTTCCGAATTCGTATTATGCCTACTCGATCCAAATAAAGATTTAATGTCGAAATGGAATTAGACTTAGGTATAGACTTATTTTTTAGAATACATTCTCTTCTACTAAAAATCTTTCTGACAATATCAAAATCAAAATCAAAATCATTTATTCAGTCTAGGCTGTTACAAGCACTTGTGAAAGTCGAGAGCTACGCCATCGGTTCGTAAATCTACGGCGGGAGACCTTGTACCGAGAAGAACCGGCAAGAAACTCGGCAAGGGCTGCTTTTTTCTCCCTGTTTTATTTCATACAGAGCGTCAAAATTGAAAAATGACTTCATTAAAATTTGAAGTCACTTTCCATTACAATATTACAATCCAATCACATTTGTAGCCAAAGAAGCTCACCGATTAACAATTTAATATATATGAAAAATGAGCCATATTTAACTCCAAGCAGTTTTGTCGTTTAAATATTCATTAACAGTATAATATCCTTTACTGAGTAGACAATTCTTAATATGGGTTTTAAACTTAGTTAATGGTAAATTTAAAATTTCCATAGGAATTTTGTTATAGTAGTGTACACCTTGACCCATAAATGACGACAGAACCTTCTTTAGCCTGCATGATGGCAAAACAAGTTTATCTTTGTTTCTAGTATTAAAATTGTGTACATGACTATGTTTAATATAATTGTTAATATTGTTTCTAACATAAAGTATACAATTGTATATGAATTGGGAGGCCACTATTAATATCCCAATTTCTTTGAATTTATCTCTAAGTGACGTTCTTGAACCCAATTGATAAATGGCCCTTACTGCTCTTTTTTGTAAAATAAATATAGACTCTATATCTGCAGCCATACCCCACATCAGAATGCCATATGACATAACGCTATGGAAATAACCATAGTATACTGTCCTAGCGGTATCTACATCTGTAAGTTGCCTAATGTTTTTTATTGCAAAGGCAGCTGAACTTAGTTTTCCTGCCAATAATGAAATGTGAGGATGCCATTGCAATTTAGAATCCAGCGTTACACCTAAGAAGATTGTTGAATTAACCAACTCGAGCTTTTCATCATTAAGTTTAATTTCTGTAAGTTCAGCTTTTACATTAGGTAACATAAAATCAATATCAAATTTCTTATTATTTCTAGACTCACTTCCACGGCTGTGTCCTCTGGCAGTCTTTTCTCCTTCGATCCTGTATCAGAAGCAGATATTCGAAAGATAGCTCTTTCCATCAAGTCCAAGGCTACTGGGTACGATAATGTTAGTAGAAACATGATCACTTTATTATTAGATCCTTTACTTCCGGTACTCACTTTTA